GGGTTTAGGGTTGAGGGTCAGAAGCTTGAATCCAAGGGCCTAACAGTTTCTAAGGCTTCGGGAAGCTCAAACCCAAGAAGTCTTGTCTAAACTTTCAAGCCGAAGAAGGGCATGCCCCCTGCAGAGCCAATGATGTAAGCCTTTAAACTTCCATTGCAATCTTGGGCAGAACCCTACGCCTCTAAACCCCAAAACCCCTAAACATCCCAAGCCCTAAAGACAACAATCACCTAAGCTCCAGCATCAAAGCCAGGAGACTCCAATATCTGAACCCTAAACCCTACCTTCAACTACCATAACCTACTTTTTTCTAGGTCCTTATTATACACCCTAATATAGAATTTATAGGGACCCTACAAAAAAGTAGGTTTGGGTAGTTTAAGGTAAACCCTAAGCCCAGAGCCCTCTGTCAGCGCTAAACGGGAACCCGTTTTGGGTTTAGGGTTTAGGGTGTGCTTGGGTTTAGGGTTTAGGGTTTAGGGTTTAGGGTTTAGGCTTGATTTAGAGTTGAGCACGAAATAGATATTTGGACCCGCCACACATCAATGGCCTGCAAGCTTGAGGTCCTCGCCCCAAAAGCCCTGCATGCTGCTAGCACTAGCAGCCGAAATTTCAGCATGGCTGGTTTCATGGTTACATGTAATCATCGGCCTGAACTTGTTGCGCTGGTACTCCTAAGGGCTGCATCACATACTTATAGTATAGCCCCCCCAAACGCCATGTACATGATGAGATTTCCTGCTTAACTTGGATACCGTTGCGACCCTGTGGTTGCTACGAGATGTTGTTGATGGCTGATCGTTCCCTACACTCAAAAGCACATCGGGATCCTGCTAGTTAACTCCGCCTAGAGCCATTACAGAATCTCCCCAAAGGAACCCTTGACGGAACGACACCTCAGCAACGAGCATCGACAACTTAATGGCCATATGAGTCATTATCAAATGATGCATTCGACACCCTAAACCCTTCCTTCAACTACCAGAACCTGCTGTTTTTGTAGGCCCGAATATAGAATTCATAGGGACTCTACAAAAAAGTAGGTTGTGGTAGTTTAAGGTTATGATGCAGCATTGAACATCCCAGAGCCTTCACGACGTCCTCATCCTTCACACTAGCCTAACCCTACACCCTCAACCCCGAAACCTTAACCTCCAAACCCTGAAGCCCTAAGCCCTAAACCCAAACCCTTAAACCCTCAACCCTAAATCCTAAGCCTCATAACCCTGAAGCCCTAACCCCTAAGCCCAAACACCTAAATCCTAGATCCTAAACCCTAAATACCCCAAACCCCAAACCCTGAGGCCCTAACCCCTAAATCCTAAATACCCCAAACCCCAAACCCTGAAGCCCTAACCCTGCTTCCTTTTTTTTTTAAAGCAGGAGCTTCTTGGGCAGAGCAGTCTTCGACGCCGCCAGCCGAGGTCGAAGACCATGGAGGCCAAGGGTCGCCTGCTTAGGGGGCTATTACATAGGCTTAGGGCTTAGGACTTTCGGGGTTTAGGGTTTAGGGCTTAGGACTTTTGAGGTTCAGGGTTTAGGGCTTAGGACTTTTGGGGTTTAGGGTTTGGGGTTTAAGATTTTTGGGGTTTGGGTTTCAGGGGTTTAGGATTTTGGATTTTGGGGGTGATGCAGGGTTCCTTGTATTTATTCAAGGCCCTCCCTATGCATTCTGCCTGGCCCTGCATGCTGCTAAAAAACTTGCATGCTGCCCCGCTTGCTCTTGTTTTCTCTCTTGCTTCAGATATCTGCTTCGTGTACCACACGCAGTTGCTGTGGACTTCGCCCTTTGATCCAGTGAGCTCCATGCCTTGTATCGGCCAGCACAGAAACACTCAAGCAGATGTAGCCAGAATCCCGTCTTCATTGTTCTAGTTGTTCTTTCTGATTGACCCAATGCCAGCTCAAGCAGGATCATGCCTTCAGCTCAAGCACGATTCTCCCG